TGTCGTCTTCTGGACCACTTTACGGGTCTTCGGCCCAGCACCCAATGAAATCCCGACAGGGTGCTTTCAATATTCAGCAGGCCTTCTGGGCAATCGAGTAATTTACTGTTTCCACTTTCCAGCCTTGAGTGAATCCTCCTCCGACGTTTAAACTCATTCCGGTTATTGTGCGTCTTTTGAAGCTCATTCATCCTTGGTCATCTGTGGCTCAGGACCGCGTCACGTCCTTGCAGCAAATCTCATAATTTATTTGGGTCATTTTCCTGCTCATTATAAGGCACTCTATTTTTTATTGGCGCCGAAAAACATCCCATATATTTCGGTACGCTTTTTACTTTGAGTAAAAGTGCCAAGTCTTGTTGTGCAAGTATACCTACACATGTCAGGACAGTCATTATTTATTTACGTCGGTAGCAAACAGGATAATAGTCGAACAGTTGCGTTTGCGTGTTTTACACACATGGCATGATAGTTCGGCCGCCGCGTAGTATGCGTACCATGTCTCATGAGGCAAGCTTGCTGCAGTAAGCATGTCTCGCATCTGGAATGAACAAGGGTGCCGTGAAGACTTCATTTAAAGGGAGCCATTGCGGCTTAACTTACATTCTTGAGTACGTCGGAGATATACCATCTGTTAGTAACACTCCAAACACGACATCACTCTTCGATATGCGAGTGGCCCATCCAGACCAGACGAGCGCAGGACAATAAACAAAGTGTTCTAGTGTTCGACTCTTCTTCAGTTTTCTATTTTTCATTCTCTTAGCTTCAAATAACCGACGCCCTAGAGTCACATAAAGCATTAAAACTGACGTTTTCAGTCCTCTGGGGAATGTATTCTTTTTACTTCGCGTACGGCCGAGAACCTTGCTAATCGCGAAGGAAGCAACGCATGTTATAGTGGCCAAAACTGTTCTTCTGAAACAACTTCAATCGTTGCTGCTAGTGGAACATCCGTGTCGCGGTATTGTTAATTATTTCCTTGTACTGAATTTTCATTAAACTGTCAAACTTCACCGTTATAACGCAGAACCCGATTGATTTACTATAGATAGGGGTACGTTCGTCTTGCTTAATTGAAATCTGACGCTGTTACTCAGGATTTGCCGCACTACTTAAATTTGTTTTAAGCCGAATTTCTGCATGTTCACTCAGTCGCCAGAAGGACAATAGCTTTGTTTATTTGGCCTGTCAGTCAGTGTCATCGGCTTCGTACTCCCGTGGCTAATTTGCCTAATTCAGTGAGAGCGCGCTTCGGCCACACATGTGTTCGGCATTGTATGGTCTGATCCAGGACTTAATCCCTCACTATTATCCATGAATTGCGTCCAAACCTATCACGGCGCGCTACCAGTCGCGGTTTCGAAGCCTGCCAACTAACGGGCTAACAATGTCCTACTCGAGACTCATTCAGACCGCAGTACCTCCTTAGTATGGCTTTTATTGTACACTCGCGTACGCGAGATCCGGACACTCTCCCCCCTTCTGAATGAAGCCTTCAATCTGGAATCCAGGATTAGGTCGTATGAAGCACGCGTATGCGGCCTGTTTAGTTCTGCCACGCCTCCTTCGCTCTCCTCGACTTGGCTTTGTCACGTGAAAAGAATTTGGATGGGAAGAGAGAGTGAAGCAAGCATGACGAGAGTCCGCCCTACTATAAATAAGCTCGCGCGCAAGTCACGGTTACACCCATATTGTCTGGCAGGGGTGGACTTTGTCGCCTGCGACGGTCGAGCTGTTATTTAACCGGACGTCGCTTCTGTGCCTCATAGAGCCATATCGTCAGTAGGCTTGGCGCAGTTAAACATATCCCTAGACAAATGTTTCATTCTATTCTCTGGAGAGCGCCTAAGTGCATTATTGATATCTCACATGGATGGCGAAGTTGGCAGTAGATGGTTGAAAAGGCAGCTGATGCCCGCCGCTGTTTAGGTCGAATACTATAGACGTCCCCGAAATTACTTTCTCCATCTCCTAAGTGACCATGTGAAATACTATCTGTGTTGCTGGACGTGTTTTCTTTTAGAAGAAATAACTCTTTCGCACTGTCCTTGTGCCGTGGGCCTGAACTGACCCTTAAGTATGGATTTTCTCACAGCACCCACCGAATTTTTGACATTGACAAGGGATTAGACCCCTGGACCCTTCGACCCCTGTCGCTTGCTTACGTTTCAACCAGCGTATCCCAAAACACATAAAGAAATTTTTGGTCAATAATGCGACAGTAAAATTAAAGTGAATTAGGCTCGCCAGATACATAGCGCTTGCGTCACTTGCCGCTTACTGTACTATTATTCCTCGTTAGTAGGTTGGTATGTTTTAATCCTGCCCAAATAAGGGACTCTTCGTAGCCACCGCGCCACCACCTTCCTACGTGATAAGATGTCGCAGGCGAGATTTCCTACGATATTGCTAAATCGCGCTACGATCTGACCATTTTGGAGTGTTAACTCATTAAGTTTATTTCCACAGCTTTCACCCATGTTAAAAGCCGAATGTTCCCGTTGCAGCCATC